AACGATGCTTCTTGTTCCAAAATATCCCAATTAATATTAAGGAAAAAGAATATAAGAACTGGAATGCTGAACTTGCAAGATTTATTTTGAGATGGAAAAAAACTTAGAATAAAGATGAAAAATTTACAAGATGCTAAATGAAGAGAAGGATTTGCCCTCCCTAACTTAAAACTATATTGAGAAGCAGCTATACTGAATTGGCTAAAATAATGGATCCATCTTGATAAAGCCTCATAGTTCTTGAAGGAGCAGATTTAAATTCTGGTTTGCATGCATACCTAATTAATGGGAAAGTGGAAGAAGACCCAAACTTTAAAAAAACATCCAATTAGGAAAATTCTATTAGAACGTGGAAGTGGAATCCCAAGGGTAACAGAAGATGATTAATCTATTACTCCAAAAGACACGAGGCTGCTCCAACTGAAAATTGTAAAAATAAACCAACAAGGCTACTACCTGAACTGATTTGAAATTACACAAATACACCATTAATATCAAAAGGATGTACAGATACAATCTGAGGAAGAAAATACTGATTTTGACAAAATATTACAAGTAAGAAATAAACAATCACCCAAAATCTACACCCTGCTACTAAGACTAACAAGGGAGATGACTATATCAAAGAATGTGTGCTAAAATGGGCCAAAAATATTGGCCATACTATTAGTCTAGACAAGTGGGATGCCCTAGAAAAAAAATTCAGAAATTATTCACTGTTGGAAAACTTTTATAAAATGTTCTATTTGTATTACATGACACCTGAAAAAATAGCCAAAATACAGCCACAATTGAAAACTACCTGCTGGAAATGTAAACAAATAACAGGAACATTTTTTTTTCATATGCGGTAGACCTGCAAGAAAGCAAAAGATTTTTGGAGTAAGATCCATAAAACTATAGAAAAAGTATTAAAACTAAAAAAAAATACATCTAGAGGAATTCTTACTAGACCTATCAGATCATTTCTGAAGTCATATGACAGACTTTTCATTATGATGACAACTGCAGCAAGAACTGTATATTTGTGTATGTTGAAACTAGAAAAAAAAACATCAAAATGGAAGAATGGATAGTAAAAGTAGCTGAAATAGTGGAAATTGACATTTTGACAAGATAGACCCTTCAATATTCAAGAAAGACTGGGAACCCTTCAAAAATATCCTGGGAGAAAAGAAAATTCCAACGTGGGGATTTCATGTTTAAAATGTTATTCTATTGCATCAGATTTTACAGAATGAACTAGATAATATCGAAACAACAAAAATTCTTATGTATATGAAAGAAAGATATGTAAAAATCTGACTATATATTTCAATTTTTAAAAAGGCAAAAAAAGACAATCTGTATTGTGATTTCTCTTCTCCAGTCCTGGCAAGTAACCATGACTCAGGAATGTTGCTTAAGGAATTTTGGGAGTTGTAGTCCAAGACAAATGACAACAGGGATCACAGGCAAGCATGGTCTGGGAGAACAAAATGAAGCGGGACGCAGGCTGATAGAATTTTGCCAGGAAAACTCGCTGTGTATAACGAATACTCTCTTCCGACAACCTAAAAGACGGCTCTATACATGGACTTCACCAGATGGTCAACACCGAAATCAGATTGACTACATCCTTTGCAGCCAAAGGTGGCGGACATCCATCCAGTCAGTGAAAACAAGACCTGGGGCTGACGGTAGCTCAGATCACGAACTTCTTATTGCACAATTTAGAATAAAACTAAAGAGATCAGGGAAAATACACAGACCAGTTAGATATGATCTCACTAACATTCCTAGCGAATATACAGTGGAAGTGAAGAACAGATTTGAAGGACTAGATTTAGTAAACAGAGTCCCAGAAGAACTATGGACAGAAGTCCGCAACATTGTTCAGGAGACGGCAACAAAGTACGTTCCAAAGAAAAAGAAAACCAAGAAGGCAAAATGGTTGTCTGCTGAGACACTGGAAGTAGCCCAAGAAAGGAGGAAAGCAAAAGGAAAGAGGGATAAGGGGAGATATGCCCAGTTAAATGCGCCATTCCAGAGGTTAGCCAGAAGAGATAAGGAACTATTTTTAAATAGGCAATGCATGGAAGTGGAGAAGACAACAGAATAGGAAGGACAAGAGACCTCTTCCAGAAAATTAGAAACATTGGAGGTAAATTTCAGGCAAAAAATAAGAAACAAAGATGGCAGGGACCTAACAGAAGCTGAAGAGATCAAGAGAAGGTGGCGAGACTATACAGAAGATCTGTATAAGAAGATAATAATATCGAGGATAGTTTTGACAGTGTGGTGAATGAATTAGAACCAGACATCCTGAGGAGTGAGGTTGAATGGGCCTTAAGAAGCATTGCTAACAACAAGGCAGCAGGAGACGACGGGATCCCAGCTGAACTGTTTAAAATCTTAAACGATGATGCTGTCAAGGTGATGCATGCCATTTGCCAGCAAATATGGAAAACACAAGAATGGCCATCAGACTGGAAAAAATCAACTTATATCCCCATACCAAAAAAGGGAAATGCGAAAGAATGCTCAAACTTCCGTACAGTGGCCCTTATTTCTCATGCCAGTAAGGTAATGCTCAAGATCCTGCAAGGAAGACTCCAGCAATACATGGAGAGAGAGTTGCCAGATGTACAAGCTGGGTTTAGAAAAGGCAGAGGAACGAGAGACCAGATTGCCAATATCGCTGGATAATGGAGAAAGGCAGGGAGTTTCAGAAAAACATCTACTTCTGCTTCATTGACTATTCTAAAGCCTTTGACTGTGTGGATCATGATAAATTGTGGCAAGTTCTTGGTGGGATGGGCATCCCAAGCCACCTTGTCTCTCTCCTGAGGAATCTGTACAAGGACCAAGTAGCAACAGTAAGAACTGACCACGGAACAACAGACTGGTTCAAGATTGGGAAAGGCGCACGGCAAGGCTGCATACTCTCACCCAACCTTTTTAACTTGTATGCAGAACACATCATGCGATGTGCGGGGCTGGAGGAATGCAAAGCTGGGGTGAAAATTGCTGGAAGAAACATTAACAACCTCAGATATGCAGATGACACCACTCTGATGGCCGAAAGCGAGGAGGAGCTGAGGAGCCTTCTAATCAAGGTGAAAGAAGAAAGCGCAAAATTCGGGTTGCAGCTAAACATCAAAAAAAACAAGATTATGGCAACAAGAATGATTGACAACTGGAAAATAGAGGGAGAAAATGGAGGCCGTGACAGACTTTGTATTTCTAGGTGCAAAGATTACTGCAGATGCAGACTGTAGCCAGGAAATCAGAAGACGCTTACTTCTTGGGAGGAGAGCAATGCCCAGTCTCGATAAAATAGTGAAGAGTAGAGACATCAGACTGGCAACAAAGATCCGCCTAGTCAAAGCCATGGTATTCCCTGTAGTTACCTACGGATGTGAGAGCTGGACCTTAGGGAAGGCTGAGCGAAGGAAGATTGATGCTTTTGAGCTGTGGTGTTGGAGGAAAGTGCTGAGAGTGCCTTGGACTGCGAGAAGATCCAACCGGTCCATCCTCCAGGAAATAAAGCCCGACTGCTCACTGGAGGGAAAGATACTAGAGACAAAGTTGAAGTACTTTGGCCACATCATGAGGAGACAGGAAAGCCTAGAGAAGACAATTATGCTGGGGAAAATGGAAGGCTAAAGGAAGAGGGGCCGACCAAGGGCAAGATGGATGGATGGCATCCTTGAAGTGACTGGACTGACCTTGAGGGAGCTGGGGGTGGTAACGGCCGACAGGGAGCTCTGGCGTGGGCTGGTCCATGAGGTCACGAAGAGTCGTAGACGACTGAACGAATGAACAACAAGTCCAAGACAATAACTTTTCAAGCTCCACTCAGAGATATAGTACACCTCTTTTAGGTCACCAGAAGGGTATGCCACCCTAGTTATAGGACTGTTTTGTAGGAAATACCAAATTTTATTATTTTTCTGTGCCTGCAAGAACATTAATAAATAATCTGCATGGTAACAAATATAACAAATATACCACCCAGTTCCTCATAATTTTTTACATTTCTAAGAAAAATCTTAAACCTTTCAAAAGAGCTGTCTTGATTCAGACTGTGCATGGCTTCTCTGTCCATGGCTCACAGAAAAAAGAGCAAAATATTGTTATATCTATTATTCCCTTCTAGCTTTCATGCAGCTTCCATCTATGCATTCCAACTTTGGGTCCTTAGATGTTTTGAACTTCAGCTATCAGGATCTCTGACCATTGCCCATGTTGCCTCTGCTTTTTGGAATTGAAGTCCAGAACATCTAAGTAATCAATGGTTAAGAACCAATGGCCTAAAAAATCCTAGGAAGTATTATTCATTTAAACTATTTTAATGAGCCATTGTTTTCTGAGTGTGTAGAGGATGCTTGGTGAGGGACTACCAGGATAAGAAACACATTGTACACATCGCTAATCTCTCAGGCTTCATGAGATGAATATTAAATCAATTAAACATGCAGTGTAGATAAGCCTCTGTTATATTCTTGTAGATCTTTGTGAGGAAGTAGTAAACTGAAACCCCAAAGAAAAGTCAAAGAAAAAGAAGCCAGATCTCAGCATGATGCTGACAGTGCATGCAGATATCTTTTAAAAAATGAGCCTGTCTGCTAAGAGTCCATGTAACTCCATAGAAATACTCATGAAATGACTTTTGCTATAAGAGTTACATGGAGCCCACTCCTTCTGGGCAAAGCCAAGAACAAAGAAGGTATGGATGGGGAGGAGGGGCAGAAGCAAAACAGGGGATATCTTGTTGGAGGAAAATGTTGGTTGCTGAAAGAAAATGACAAATCAATCCACTTTCCAGTTTGTAAACGTATCCCCTGCTTTGCATCTGCACATTATACCGCACCCATCTATAAGGCCAGTCTCTCCCAGAAAGGGTTGTCCTTCTTCTGCAAGGCATTTTAACAGATGTGTGTCCCCAGTGACTTTGGGAGTGATGGCAGGAAAGCCTTATAGCAAGGGTGCACTATCTATATCTTATTTGTAAGTAGAGCCCTATGTTTAATATATTTCAGGAGGATGACACTGGAGAAGGCCGGTTCAACTTCTCCGCCTACGGGATGGGACCTGCCTGCCTACAAGCCAAGGATGGCATCTCAGTCAAAGGAGCCAATAACAACAACACAGCAAACCCTGCGCCACCTGCTTCCAAGTCTGCCGATGAAATGCGCAAGCTTTTCGTCCAGCGAGCCAAAAAGATCGATAAGTTTTCACGGATCGGTTTCCCTATGGCTTTCCTCATCTTCAACATTTTCTACTGGATCATCTACAAGATTGTCCGAAGGGAAGATGTACACAAGCCATGAGCCAAGAGAGAGGGAGTTCCTATGCCAAAATCAAAAGAGAATGGATGGTTGCAAAGGCAAGATAGATGGTTACTCTATACTCACCATGTGCAATAGCAATGCAGTGATGCATGAAATTAAGAATGTGGCAATATCTATTTTAAAAAGGGGGTGACTTTTAAAAAAACACATGAACTGAAAAATACTAGGGGTGGGTGGGCTTTGGGAAGAAAGCTTTCAAAAACTTGAGTTGGGGAGATTATGGAAGAAATGAATTGTTTTACAGCATAGGGAAGTTAGGATTGCTATGGCGGCAGTCCAAGCAGTGTAATATATTAAATATATATTCATGCTTAATTATAATGCAAAAAGAAATCCTTTTTTAGCCTATTAACAGCTTAGATTCTAAAGCCAATGGAATGATTCATGATTCCATGTGCAAAGAGGATTGCAATTCTGCTTAAACCCGACTCTTGCTCTACAAGGCCATACCAGTCCTAAGAAAGCATGCTAAAGAGATATTTTTAAAGAGAAAGAGAGAGAGAGAGAGTTTGGATGGGGATATTTTAAATGAGAAAGGAAAGGTCAGGGTTTGCTGGGAAGCACTGAGGGGATTATAAATTTCATACTAGAAAACAATCACTTTATTGTCTTCCCCTACAAAATATAGAATATATAAATTGATAGATAGATAAATCTTATTTTATATGCCTGGCAGTGAGTGGTGCAAACTGAAGTAAAGAAATGCCTCTATAGTATTTATTTAAATGCTAACCTACATTTTTAACATTAGTTGGATTTCCATCAGAAGTGAACAACAGCTTCTTAAATCTCAAGAGGTAGAAGTTGTCTCTTCTGAACAAAGGTGCTCACTCATACAACTCACAGCTATTGGCATGAATGGGAATCCCAGAAATGTGATTGTAGACTCATCACATGAGGTTTCCAAAGCAGTACTCATTTTACGATACTAGCCCTGTTTCTTTAAGTTGATAAAAAAGCAAGTTCATAAAATGAGAAACTAGAGCTTTAAAACACCCCCCCCCCCCCCCCCCCCCCCCCCCGAAAAGAGTTTCACAACTGCAGTTCAGGAGAGAAGCAAAAATGGGTAGGTGAATGATTTTTGTGTTTATGTGTAAATAAAAGTTAAAGAAAATGAATTTTAATTGAGCATGGAATACAACATGACAAAATATGATATATATACTGAAAAGACAAGTATTATTTTCTGACATTTCATAGCATTAGTAATATTCAAGCAGGATTGCTAGCCAAATTATATTTTTGTAACTCTCTTTGGTGCTGCATTAAGCTTTTGCGGCTAGCAAGATACAAATGAGATTTATTTTTTTGAGCTCCTCTGCAGTTCAGCATTTCTCCAGCTATGAGTTAGATGACTGCTACATTGCAGAGGAGGAAAAACAGTCATCGAAGTTTACATGGACTGGGTATTTAACCAGCTCTGCAGGGAAAGTTAAAACTGACAGTTGAGCCCTTTATGGCAGTGGAGAGTTCAGCCAGTGTTTGGGGTGAGGAGGGATGAGAAGTGGGCGGAATTGTGTGTGAGTGTATAGACACAACAGTGCTATTCAGTTGCTATATATATTTGCACACGCACATACATATGGATTACTTTCCCAGTTTTTGCACTTTAAAAAAACTTAAAACAAAAAGAGATTTCAGCAGCTAGAAAGACAATCAATATTGTCCCAAAAAGACAGGATCGGCAAATACTACAGGCAGATCTACACCTAATGCTGGACAAAGGTAGTACTACTCTCATGTCAGTCCTTCCTATAGCAAGTGTTGTTGATGTATTACACAGAAATAGTCCTTTAAACATGCCTCTACATATCTGGAAACCATGATCAGGATAAGGTTTTCCACATATGTCCTAATGTTTGGGGCTGCTCTTAGGGAAGTATTACAAGATTTTAAAGCATATGATTCAATTTATCCCCCCAAGGAAGACGTTAACTCCATAATTCAACAGCTGTAGCAACATGTGGGGAAAAAAGGATAGATTTATATTCAGTGATTCTCAAGCAACGTATATAGTTGACTCAGGAATCAATCATCTCCAGAATTAGAAAATTATAGCCATGTATTAAATATCTGGACTTCTAACTGGGCTGAAAATAAAACATCTAGATTTGACAATCCCTGTTTGGTTTCTGCAGTTGGTCCTAACCATTTGAATCTGAAATAAACATTTTAGATCACCATTTAGAGAATCAGGTTTAATATATGCCGGAAGGAGAAGGATCCAGTACACTGGATGCAATTTCTAAGTAAAGACTTCACAAAAAAGAAAGAAATGGAAGATGCTTCCTAGAAATAGCTAGTCTATATGTCTCAAAAATACTTGTCCCTGAATTGAGCTGTTTTGAGGTTGTCTGAGAATATGCAGTAGCAAAAGAGACCACTTGATCCATTCTCCGTCTTCCTTTTTACACAGTGAGGAGCAATATAGAATAAAATAGGCCTGGCAATAAATACCTTAAGAGTTTCAAACCTGGGACTATTGTACAGAGTGAATGCGGATAATTTATAGTTGAGGCATATTTGCTAAGATGAATAATGTTTTTGAAGCAAAGAATGAGTGGCCCTTTAGGTGTTTCACACTACAGCTCCATAAATCTCTTGCCATTGACCACAGTCACCATACTTTAAGAATTATAGGTTTACACAACCAGAAGGACAAAGTTTTGCCAACCTCACTTTCCAGCATGAGGCAATGTGTGCCATGAAAAATAGGAAAGGACCATCTATAGCAGTGGTTCTCAACTTGTGGATCCCCAGATGTTTTGGCTTTCAACTCTCAGAAATCCTAACAGCTGGTAAACTGGCTGGGATTTCTGGGAGTTGTAGGCCCCAAACACCTGAGGACCCACAGTTTGCAAACCACTGATCTATAAGGACTAGTCAACAAGAGTTTTAATGCATCTTCAACTTCCACTAAAAATGTCTTCCATTCAGATAAATTAAATCTTGGAGACGACCATTCTCTTCATTCATAGTCTTCTTTCCCAAGTGTGTGTGTGTATCTACCTACACAGGCAACTCCTTGAAATTTCAAGCCTTACAGCACAGTTGCTGCCAAAGATCCCACTTTGAACCCTGCCTAGACTCTGTCACTGCACCTGCCTTTCTTCTCTTCCCTCAAACTCCCCCTGCCCCATCCCCCCACAAAAAAATCTCTGGCTGCATCTTCTTTCCTTTCTTTCCTTATGTGAAATGAAGTTGAAATTCACCTTGCCACAGATGCTGCAGACCAAGACACATTAAGTAAGGGCTCGCACGGCTGCCTTCCTGCTCTAAATTCAGACCTGCCTGACTGGGTTTGCGTTTGCTGAGCCAATTTCTCCCAGGTGTAACTCCACTAGCTTGAGAGCAGGTCAAAGCATGACTGAATACTATTCTCTAAAAACAACAAAGACAAACACACTTTATTGCATAACCTTTTGTGGGTTGCAGGTTGCATTCCACAAAAATACTCATATAATAAAATGTGTTAGCCATTATGTTTGTTACTTTTGCTATGTGGCTACACCTGCACCAAAAAAATTATGAATAGACATTTTGGGTAGATATTACTTTCTCCCCTTATTTTATTGACTTGGGGAGGTGGGGGAGGTGTTCTGCAATAACTCTGTTGCATCTAATACCTCAACCTCTTGAGTATATGCATTTAATGTTAAAATACTGGCTCCATTTTTCTTTCTAATCTTACAAGTGACAATTCCAAACTTGTGTAAATGCCTTTGGATAATTACTAGCACGTCATGCAATATGACTTATAATGCCTTCTGTTTCCCTTATCCTATTTCTGCTGAAGAAGTTTTATTATAGTTGCACAGAAGTGCTTCTGTCTGTCTGTCTACCTAGTTAGATAGCATATTATATATACAACCCAATCATATTATATATACAGCCCAAAAATCTCATATTTGAAGGGGCTCTCCAAGGTGCTGAAAGCTTTCCCCAGCAACTTCTATAAATCATTAAAGTTCGGGCTATGACAGGCATGGGCAAACTTGGCCCTCTAGATGTTTTGGACTTGTTAGGCTGCTAGGAATTGTGGGAGTTATTATTATTATTTCCCGCATTTCTACCCCGCCCTTCTCAACCCCCGAGGGGGGACTCAGGGCGGCTTACAAAGGCACAATTCGATGCCAGCATAAACATAACAATGGATAAAACATGTAAACAGCAATTATAACAATTAAGACAGTCAGTTCATACATCAAAATCAATTTAAAAAATAGTCCAAAACACCTGGAATGCTGAAGTTTGTCCATGCCTGGGCTATGAGCTAGAGTGGATTCATTGCCTCACTGAACTGGGGAGCACCTATTGCCCCTGATCCCAATGGGTGTAAAGAAGAAGAGGATATTGTAGTGTATACTTACATGGGATTATCACAGTGCCCAGGAACCTAGTTCTCAATCAAACATGGCATTTTCATTTTAATAGAACAGCAAAGGCACTTTTACTTTAGCTTTCAAAGCTTATAAGCACTATTTCTACAGTGGTAGCTAAGTGGCTGTTCAAGATATGGATGTTTTATTCTTAACTGCACTTAATTTGCAGCCAAATGATTCCACAATATAATTGCTCTCTTTGGTTCAAATGACTTACATTTATACATGGGATTCCAGCTGAGATTGACAGATATGATTTCATTTGCCTTGGAAGCAGCTGATTGTTTACTATTAAAAATCTTCTGTAAAGCAGGGCCATCCCCCATCTTCTGCTTTTTTGGACAGCATGCTGCTACCCTATTCTAGCCAAATGCACTAGCCTATTCTTGCTCCATGGCAGCAAGATTAGATGCCCCTCAATGCACATAGTACCATTTTTGGCAGCCATTCCTTTACAGCTGTGTCTGGCTAAAAAGAAGGGGGAGACAGGATATCTAACCAAATTCTCACTATATTTATCAAGCCACTTCATTATTTTTGAAAGATAATTATAGCAAGCCATCATCCTTCAGAGCATTACAATTACTCCTGACACAAACAATTGCTCTATAATATTATTTTGTAGTGCCACTAAGGTATCTCTGGATTCTAACCTAGAGTCCCCACTACTCTTACTCCTCTGTTCCCAATATTTACAGAAGTTTGGGTCAGACATAAGATATTCGAACATTTAGAAGTGGACTCACAATAGTTGTACAGTAGAGTCTCACTTATCCAATATGAACGGGCCAGCAGAACGTTGGATAAGCAAAAATGTTGGATAATAAGGAGGGATTAAGGAAAAGCCTATTAAACGTCAAATTATGTTATGATTTTACAAATTAAGCACCAAAACACCATGTTTTCCAACAAATCAACAGAAAAAGCAGTTCAATACACGATATCATAATATAGTAATTACTGTATTTACTAATTTAGCACCAAAACATCACAATGTATTGAAACAGCTGTGGACCCAGGCAGGAGGCAGACTGCATTGGGTAATACAGAGTGTTGGATGAGCAAAGACTCTACTGTACTTAGAATCTAAACAAAGCACTTGCATGGCCTATTGAATACCATTTGATTGTTGTGTACTATTGTATTCTATTTATTTCAGAACTAGTTACAAATATGCAATATATAGGCCGAAAGCCCATTATAACCATAATACTGGTGTGAAGGTATATCCATGCAGGGTCCTGAAACTAAATTCCAACAGATACTAAGGACAAACTGTAATTTTAAACAGTCGAAAACCATTTAAAACATAGAAATCATAATAAGAGTATAGTGTGCACTTTGAAATGGTACCCCATATTTTCTTCCTGAAGGTGCCAATTCCTTTTGTTAAATGATGGAGCTGGCCCTGCTTTACAAAGCTAGGGAACAGATTACAACAAGATAACAACACAAGCTGAGATCCTACATTGGCCAGATTAGAATTGAGCTCTACAGGTGGACCTACACTGTGGTTCCCCACTTACCACCTCCAGAGCTTGCTGATTTTCTATGGTAGCGTCCCTAATTGTTATTCCATGGCTGTTGGAGAGTTAGGAGAATCAGAGAAGTACCTGCATATGCGCCATTT